TACACACACACACACACACACACACACACACACCTGAACAAACATACACAAACAATTTGGCTAGGAGGAGTTCCCAAAATAACCTGAGCACCCGAATACCCTGAAAGCTACACATACTGTCATACAGGTGATGAGCAACTTTTAAGCTTTGTGAAAAGCAGTGATGATGATACGGCAGTGTGGATGAGGTTGTGGAGCCTCTGTGCTACTAAGGGAATGAGGATGATGTAATCCTACAAAGACTACAGCTCAAAACTCTTTGGCTGCATTTCCACAGACACCAAACGATTACTGTGCATGGTTGCTGTACAGTAAACAGAGGTCACAAATGGAATATTGATGCATGGATGGTTAAACAAATCATTGCATCGATCAATATCACAACCAATATGAACTCTACATGCCCCCTCAGCAGTGAAATGTTTATGGGTTAAAGTGACAGGAAGGTGGTGTCCAACCACAAGGTGGAGCTACACACCCAAATGTTCTTCACCACAGGGACAACATCTTCACTTCGGTCCAAGGCTTTCCAGAAGACACACTTTGGGCTCGTGCTGACTGACTCCTGAGTCAGACTTGGGACATGACTAGGAAGTGACATGACGAGACATGACTTGGAAGTGACACACCGCTCACCCCAAATATATGCACACACACATAGACACTCTACTACTACTGATGCATAAGTGTGTATATAATAAAATAATACACTTACTAATAATCACTCATGCCAGAATGTACAAAGGATGACATATCAGTGGGGGATGATAGAAAGAAAAAACTGAGGAAATGAAAGAAAAGAGCCAAGACGATGAAAATTACAGGAAATGAAGAAGCAGAGGAATTCTGGGACATTTAAAATCTTACAGTATAATGTCCGTCAGGTGTTTTAAAATAACTGTAAAGTCTTCTGTGGCTTACGGCTTTAAAAACTGTTTATTCCTAACAGAGTGACAGAGTTGATGTCCCTTTGATCACCTCCCTACTACCATGTCATTCAATGGGGTAGCAGATTATGTAATATTCCCAATTTGCATATGCAATTTTGGTGGAATACGGGCAGGCTTTTGTAAGTTCCCTCATAGAAAAGACCATCATTGTGATTTACGAGACAATACGAAAACATACAGTCCCTAAAAGAGTGATTAGAAAAGTCAACAAAAGATGAACACATGATGAAACATAATGATGTTTGTGTTATCGTGTTTTCGAATGAGTGTCGGGGAAACAACTGTGTGCACGTGAAAGTGAAAGAGAGAGCGTGTGTGTGTGTGTGTGTGTGTGTGTGTGTGTGTGTGTGTGTGTGTGTGTGTGTGTGTGTGTGTGTGTGTGTGTGTGTGTGTGTGTGTGGTCAGAGTGATGTAAGCACTAATCTGCAGACAGATACATCCCAATCAACCAAAATAAAAAGATTACCAGGCTACGCTGCGCTATTATGAGTGTGTGTGAGAGAGATAGAGAGGGAAAAGAAAGAGACAAAGAGAGAGGGTGCCAGACAGAGTGCAGAACAGAGATAGTAATGGGCCTCTTTACTAAAAAATGGGGCGAGGATTTGACTAAATCCCTGTGCACACAGCTCCACGAAAGTATTCTCCTGGTACAAAGAAAGGCTCTGTGCATGGAAGGAAATTTAGGCCAGTATCCTTGACTTCATTCAAGTACATACAAAAAAAGACCTATCTAAGTAATAAAACAGGTCTTTTTAGGAGCTGCCTCTGCCACCTTGACCAGAGACAAAAACCCCAAAATAGAAACTGACGGTATTAGATGTGACATTAGACCAATTTTAAATAATTTACAACTAATTATAATAGACATGAAGCATATCACCGCTGATGGCAAAAAGTCTGTTATCTCTAACGACTCATCTTTTCAGAGACTATGACAAACAGGCTTAATTTAAGCTTTCATTTTGCAGTCTATCCAGCGGTGTTCAAAAAGGAAGTTTTAAAAGCACAAGGTTTCCAGAGAACTGTAGTCACTTTAGAGTCAATTTAAAGAGGAAAGAAATGTAATCAAAAACAATGTAGTAAATTCCTTTGAAATTGGCGATGATTTTTAGGGGAATGCCGGCAATTACTTTTTTTTCAAAGATATTTTTTGGGGCAGAGAGTGCCTTTATCAGAGATACAGTGATGAAAGGGGGAGATAGTGGGGGAAACATTGCCTGAACATTTATGTGAGCTTGGGAGTCGAATCTGCATATTTGGCAGTGTCATTTTTTATCAACATATTAAACCAATGTTATTGTTCATGAATACGTCTGGAAAATATTCTAACTGAAGGCATCAATGTATCCTTTCCAATCTTATAAAAAACATAAAATACCAAAGTTAAGCATTTATAGCTTTATATATACAGTCTATGATTTATAGCCATAGTCAACAGTGACTTGAACAACAACAAATGAAGTGTTTATGGGGCAGTAACATTATTAAGTATATCGTATTTTTCTAGTGGAATGTAAGCACTCATTTAAGTCCTGTTAACTGTGCGATCCCATCAAACATACAGTAGCTTAAGGCCACTAGTAGATGTCCTTAAAACATATCTGGCAAAAACATTTGGTAGTAAAGCAACAGGGTTAGGAATAGAACAACTCTCACTCCCAAATTGATTTAAAGAGACTACAGCAAATCTAAAAGAAAGTTACAACTTCATATATTATTATGGGACTGTTAAAGGTTGATTTAAATATTAAGTTATGTAAACAAAGCAGAACAAGTATTTGTCAATTCAACTATGATCGATTGATGCTGTGCCTCAATTATGTTCAAATTTACATCATGAGCTCAAAAAGTAAATAAAATCTGAAAAAAGGTTTGATAGAACAATAAAAACATCTGGCCCCACGCATACAGCATTTGTCAAAATACAGCAAGTTATTCTGAAGCAGGGATTGAAAATCAGACATAATCTCTCGAGTGAACGTGTTGTAAGGGTGAGACCTGAGCCATGCATGTGAACACACACAGGCAGGTAGACAGCTGTCGTGATAGGGAACTGATTGACAGTGTCAGTATAATGTGTGTGTGTGTGTGTGTGTGTGTGTGTGTGTGTGTGTGTGTGTGTGTGTGTGTGTGTGTGTGTGTGTGTGTGTGTGTGTGTGTGTGTGTGCATGTGTTAGGCAAACTGATGAAAGAACCTTAGTTACCTGAGCAGGCGTAATGTGTGTGTGAGTCACGTATCCGTGAACGTGTTGAATCTGAGACAGCTGCCGCTCCGCCACCTGAACCAACTCCGCACCACGCAGGTCACCGTGGCGACCCAGAGATCCGTCCCTCCCCAGAGATTGCTCCCTTTCTCTCTCCATGGTGCCGGCACACCCTGCCTCCCTTCTCCAGGTCCCCCCTTCCCTCGAATCTCTCCCTTCCCTTCCCTTCCTACCCAGGGTGCCTCCGCCCCTCCCCATTGTGCCTCCGTCTCTACCTAGGGTCCCTTCCCCCCTGTCCAGGGTCCCGCTGTCCCTTCCTAGGGTCCCTCCTTCCCTCCCGAGTGTCCCTCCTTCCCTCCCAAGTGTCCCTCCGTCCCTTCCCAGGGTGCCTCCGTCCCTTCCTAGGGTCCCTCCGTCCCTCCCAAGTGTCCCTCCGTCCCTCCCAAGGGTGCCTCCGTTCCTCCCAAGGGTGCCTCCATCCCTCCCAAGGGTGCCTCCATCCCTCAGTTCGCTGGCTACTCCCATATGATGCAGAACGCAGGGGTGATGGTGGAGTTTTGGGGCACCTGGTGATGCCCCTTCTTCTTCTTGACACCGATACTTCTATTGTAGGAAAGGACGGAGAGGAGGAGGAGAGGAAACGAGGAAATGACAAGGAAAAATAGTTGGGAAGACGAGGTGTAGGAAGGTGGGAACAAAGTAGGGGGGGAAAAGGACAGAAGAAGAAAGAGTGTTAGTTCAGAAGCAGAAAGATTTATTCAGGCTGGAAAAGAAGAAGGTAATAGTATGAAATTGTAACAAGCATATAAAAGAGCAGAGCAGAGTGTGTGCAATGAATACGTGTGTGTGATGAGATTATTTGTGGTGTGTGTGTAAGCACATGGGGCTGTCCAGGTGTACAACCAGCATGGTCCTAATTGTTTCCTGAGCTTCCTGCACTATACATATGGGAATGCACAACACACAAACCTAAACAAGCACACACACACACACACACACACACACACACACACACACACACACACACACACACACACACACGAGAAGACTTCACTTGAAACAGAAGTTTATAGGCAAAACTGAATGAGGACAGTGAGCGGGAGACGAGCCTGCCTCAGGGAATGACTGTTTCTTCCTCTTCTCCTCATCTCTCTGTACCTTCATCACGCCGCTTTGCCTTCCACATCTCTGACTCGAGCTACAGTAACTCTCACTGTTGTCCTCTCCCTCCTCTCTTCCTCATTCTCACGCACTCTTCCTCTTCATCTTTTAAAAAATAATATTCAATGTTTCTCTTTCTGCTTTACTGGACCGGGTAAAGGGAGAATTTAGTGAAGCTGAGGACGGAGGGACGACAGGTCCTACTTTTACAGTAAATCCTCAACATTGTGGTTACATGGTGTGTGACAGCTGAGCATTTAAGAGGGTGGTCTGTAAACTGAATACACACTCACTCCTTCAAAGAAGTACACTAATATGGTAAAATCGTTTATCGCGTGTTAATTATTCCATTTAAATGTAAATGACTCAGAAGAGAAGATACCGATAAAGAGAAGAAGATGATTTCCAGGAGGACTTTTAAAGCTTCAAGGAAATTGGACAATTAGTCTTTGATCATATCAACACCAATATATCGGTTTAATTTCAGCTAAGACACACAGGTAATATAATAGAGTCAGAAAATGATTGCACATTATCCAAGTAGAATCTAGTAACTCATTTCAAGTATGCTTGACTTTAACCCAAGGTTAATGGGACAATTAACTACAAATGCAAGTGAGAGTGTATAATGTGTGAAAAGCACATATAAAATAAAAGGATGTTCAGCACTTGCATGGTAAGACTATGTTTCTGCTAACTGCACGAGATTGTTCCACAGCTGGACACTTGGAGATACACCGGATCAGAGCCTGAAGAGGTCAAAACAAATGCAGTAGATATTTTAAGTTTAAATGCCATGTCAAACATAAAGGACAATTGATTTGTTTAATAATTGAAATTTGTACTTGAGCCTAAACTCACTTCTATTTTGGACCCAAAAACCGAATAACCACTGTAATGTCTAAGAAGTAAAACATTTTATCAAAGTAAGCCTGATATTACACAGTAACACATTGGTTTCCTTCATGTTAGCCACTGTGATGTCATTGTTTCTTACTTATTTAATAATATATTAATAACATTTGCTTGCAACATAGGGTTTAGAGTGAACTCTTAGATACATTTGAATAAGCATCCATTAAGGGTCATTTTATCCATGTGTTGTTCTGCCACATTCTGATTAACGGAATAAAGGAGATAAATGCAAGCCTAACATGAAGGAGAGGTCAACAAGACTAGAGCTCAATAAAATGTGTCCAAATACACATTATTACTGGTTTGTGGGATCGTAGTGGGTGAAGTCAGAAACGAGCATCTCTGAGCTGGAGTAAGGTTAAGGTGGAGTGGTCATAGAGAGAGCTGAGATGCTAACACAGCTATCGTACAGATACAGCCTTCATGTAGCCTAAGAGATGAGATAGATTATCCTCCCCTACAGAGAGCCGACTGTTCTCATTCATTTGACATTTGACCTTTTGGCTTAATCTCTCCCCAGGTAGTTAACACAAAGCTGACCTCACTGTTGTTGCTGTATTTATCCAAACCCTGAACACACTATAGGCAACTATTTAGCTTTGTAACATGTTGTTACAATAGTTTAGGTTAGGATAAGCTTCCATTTCATTCATTAACTAAAATAACATGTGTGCCTATTAGATGTATCACTCAGTCCCCTCTGTGTCTCTACATCAGTAACTACACAGCCCACAGTCTTAATTAATATCTGTCCCAAGAGAGACATTCTTTTCTTGGATCCAGACTGTTTGAAAAAGAAACTGTTATTAGTATAAGTAAAACACCTGTAAGAATGACTGAAGATGAAAGACAGCAGTTGATTCAATGTGTAACGATTCCAAAACCATGCTTTAGCATCCACTGACCGACAGCAAGACCAATGAAAGATTGAAGCCCTTTCTCTCTGCATCGACCCTACACTGCAGCTGGCTGTCATGTATTGTCTGCTACGAGATGCTAAATCTATTCTTAATATCGTATTTTAGGTCAGGGCAGCTGCTTTGCACAGGAGAGTACGTCTGTGCAGAACAGAATCAGCTAATTCTTACAAATTCAAGTGGACGTGGCTGTGTGTGCTCTCCCCTGCCTCCCCTGCTGCATGCTTTAACCTCATTTAAACCGGGATTGGGAGCAAATGCTGCTCTGACAAAATGAACTGATCTGAACCCGTCTGCTGACCTTCAGCGCACTTCATTTCTCTTCGCCTCTCGGCCTGATCTTTTCATTCACTGCCAATTAGTCAGAAATGCCTCAAAATAATCTGGAGATTGGCGGTTGAACGGCCAGGCACTAAGACCCTGAAGAGACCCTGGCTCACACTGTTGTCACAACACTGCTGCTACTGCCCTCTGCACTCACACGCGCGCACACACACACACACACACACACACACACACACACACACACACACACACACACACACACACACACACACACACACACACACACGTGCCTTCATCTCTTTCTCTATATCTTTTCATTCTCTCCATCTCCTATATCACGGTCTCTCTCAAAATACGTATCGCCAAAGAAGAAACATCAGATAACAGCTGATGATTCGAGTCCTTTGGCATCAATGACAACGTGGCGATAACAAACATTAATGGTCTTAAAATATAAAGTTAGTAAAGCCCATTGTAATCAAAGGACACAGGAATGAAACATCGTGTTGCGAGAATTTCACACATTTTATTTCCAAACTACAGTAAAATTATATATTTCTTAGGTAAAATATATGATTTATTCATTCAGTCTCCAGAGGATGCTTTCATTGCCCATATCAGCTTCCTCTATGATACTACATGGTGATGTAATATCACTAAATGGTGGAGGGCTAGTGGGAAAATGAGGTCAAAGTCAGAGTTATACAGGCTCCACTCACACGACGTGGATGCAGTTTTCAAAACACTACAACTTTAGCATCCACATGGAATTAAAATCTAAGATCAGCAAAAAGCAATTCGGAAATGATTATATGATGTATACAAATAGAAAACAGCGACATTAAATTAATTATTTAAAAATGTCAGATCATAGCTGAATCCGCCTACATAATTAAACCAATAACGGACATTTGACTAAAAGTTAGTCACGAATGTCTTAAACATATCTTTAAACATGTTAAAGGAAGAGAAGAAATGTGTTGATATAATAGAAAGAGGAAACTTCCCGGGGGCGGCAGTCAGTAAAGAGTCTTCAGTAAAAATAAACAGACCTGAGCAGAAAGAGAGGAACAGATTCATCTATTTTGAATGTGTCTGACCTAGTTGAGGTGTTCTTGATTTATCTCCTTGGGCACCTTAAAAGTCTTAGCAATGGACATGAACTCTGATTTCCATCTTACAGTTACTTTAGATGTGATTCAAATCAAACTTTACTTTATGTATGTGTCTAATTGTATCAATTCTGACCACGATTCAGATAAGATATTCAAGTACCAGTATTTACGTGAGTAAGCCTGCCATAAATATTGTTTTCAGTAGCTGAAAGGGATCTGTGACTTTCGATCCAAAGGTAAAACATAGGAAAAGTATGTTTATATATTTGATTTTGACACACATACGTTGAATGTCACCTGCGTGCTCACTACTATTTACTTTTTTTAACTTCACTTCCTGTAACTGCTTCACATTCTATTTTCTATGTTCTATGTTTTAGGGCTGCTCCTCTCATCGATAAGTTGACTCATGTGTCCTTTATTATTGATAATCATATGTTAGTTGACTAAGAATGTGTTCAGAGGATGAAAGCCCTGCTATGTTTACAGTATTGGGTCACAGGTTTTATTTGAACAAGAAGATGCAGACAAAGGAACTAGGTAAACATACATGTGAATGGGAATCAAGATAAGTATTGCCTCAACTCAAGCCATCCCTGATGTGTCAAGAATAATGTCCAACACAAATACCATCTCTAAAAATAAAATAATTTGCAAGCTCAAAAGCTCTCAGAAACATTTAATAATCCTCAGGTCACACTCTCTCGTTACCCTCTCTAACTAAACTTTCAGAGGACAAAAACCAGCGCTCCTACTGTGACACACACTCGTGACTCTCTCTCTCTAAAGCTCCAGTTGTCTCTCGGCCAGCCTCTATCTAACAGGCTGTCATGGTGGGGTGATGTAACAGGACAGAAGTGAACATCATACAGTTGATTATGGCCTAACTGCTGAGCTGGACAACAGTTCAACACCCATTGCATGCTCATATCAACAGATACACAGTCCAGTGGTCCTACCCTCTCTTCTTATACTACAGCACTCATGGACCTCTCAAAGGAAACTGTGGTTTAAAGATGTCGCATTAGATTAGCCGCTAAACTAAATGTACTTTTTCGAATTATAGACATAAATCTCTTTCTGTGTGTCTCTCTCGCTCTATTTCTCAAGCTCATGACCAGTTTGCAGTGCGTTATTGAGACAAGTGTATGGACCTGTTTCATGGAGACATTTTGGGTTAGCTTTGTAGGCTTTTCAAAGATGCAGCTCA